ATATTCAAAATATATAAATAATTCATACACTTCAATAGAAACAAAGCATATTATCTGACTAATAAATGAGAAGACCTGAATAGGCCTTTCTTTTTCCAAAAGAAAACAGACTATGGCCAACAAGCACATGAAAAGATGTTCAACCTCATGATAGTCATTAGGGAAGTGCAAATTAAGACCTCATACTTGCACTGCTATTATCAGAAAGATAATAAATAGCAAGTCTTGGCAAGGATGTAGAGAAAAAGGAACTCTCACATATTGGTTTTAGAATACATATTGGTGCCACCACCATGGAAAATAATATAGAGGTTTCTGAAAAGATTAAAAAAGAGCTACCATATGATCCAGCAATTTCTCTTCAGGTTTTATCTTAAGAAAACAAAAACACTAACTCAAAAAGATATCTACACCCCTACACTGCAGCATTATTTACAGTAGCCAAGATATGGAGACAACCCAAGTGTCTGTCAATGGATGGATAGATAAAGAAAATGAGATAGATTTGTATACAATGGGATTTTATTCAGCCATAAAAGTAATTGAAGCCTTGCCATTTGCAACACCATGGAAGAAACTGCAGGGCATTATGCTAAGTGGAATTAATTAAATGGAGAAATATAAATATATGATCTCACTTATATGTGGAATCTATTTTTAAAAACAACCAAACAAGAATGATCTTATAGATACAGAAAAAAAAAAGTAGATACAGATCTTATAGATACAGAAAGAGTAGTTGGGGCAGGTGGTGGGGGAGTTGGCAAACTCTGTGTAGGAGCTTAAAATTTCCACACATCCAGCTAGATGATAGAGACATTGGTGAAAGGTTGTGCAAGTGTAGTTAGTGGTTTGAACCTATAACTCCTGGAGCAAATACGAAGATATAAACCTACTTTACCGCAATAAACATAATCTGGAAAAATTAAATTAAAACGTCCTATGCATGAGATATACAGTATGGTGAGCATATTCCATAATTGAAAGTTGCTAAGAAAGTAAATCTTAGAAGTTTTAATCACAAGGGAAAAAACTGTAACTATGTGAACTGAGAGGTGTTAGGCTTATCGTGATGATCATTTAAGTAGAAATGATAACTCTTTATGTCATAGACCTGAAATAAATATGATGCTATATGCCAACTAGATTTAATTTAAAAGTTAATCCTTATTGGCCCAAACTGGGGATTGGTGAAAAAGCTTCAATGCAGCAAGAAGGGGTGCTGTGGAAACTTGAGCCACCCACCCATGAAACTTACTTGTGCTGTAATGACGTACTTGAGTCGGACACCTGGATGTACCATTTCCACTTGATGATGGATTAACACCTCATAAATCAAATCTGATGTTTTTGTGAATCAGGTAACACCCAGTTCATGTTAGGCAGCTCTGTTGCCAGTCAGGTGATAATTATCAAAAGAAGAATTCTCTGCAGAAAAGGGAGTGGCTTTGCTTCAAAATTCTCAGTATCTCCAGTGTTATTTTCCATGAAGCGTCTCTAATTTCCACGCAGTGCCTCTAATTTCCACAGACACTTCAAATATCCAAGGAACAGAGCAGCTTGAATTGCAGGTTGGGGCTGCTTCGGAGTCTTCTCTTGCTCTGACGTTACTGAAAAATGAGCTTATAGGTTACTTGGTAAGTTGATCACAGTAACACAAACACACCACCCTAACAATCACAAGGAGTCCATGAAGCAGCATGCCACTCTGTTGATGGTAGATTCCTTAAGGAATCTACTCATATCTACCACTACTCATATTTTCTTTGAAGGGTTAACCAAAAATCTCTACACTGTCACAATTTAGAAACATCACTTTGGTGGTGAGCTCCACTCTCTGGCATCATGGAAGGTGATTTCCATTTACTATCACCAGGTGAATTTAGCAGGATATGATCAATGTATCAGACCAATGTGATGTTCTGTGGGATGTCAAATTGAGCAAGATCTTCAAAAGGTAGATCTTGAGAGTATCATTGCAATAGTCCAGAGGCAGAATGATGATGTATACTGTACACCCTACCAATTTTAAGCAAACTGATCTGGTGGTGTATGCAAACTGCTGTAGAAAAAAAAAAAATGATTGCCTGGAGTCAAAATATTTTAGTTGTCACCTCGTTCACTCTCCTGGTCATAGTTTTTATTCTCACCCTGTCGCTGCTGGTTAAGAGCCTTCTGGGATCTCATCATCCCCAACACAACTAGAGAACATACTTCAATGTTGTCATATCTCATCATTCCTGAGTCTGAAGATGATAGCCCAGGATGAGGGTGTTTCTCAAAGATCTGGATGGTCACCTCACTGAGGCATTTTCATGCTAAGTACAGGGAATGTCCTTTGAGAAGAGGCCATGGAGCTTTGGTGGTTGTGAGATAGGATAGTGCATGAAAAACACTGTAACATTATTTATTTTGGGGGATCTTTGGATCCCTTCACTTGTATGATACTGGGGAAGTTCTAACCACTTCGTTGCGCTCTGACTACTCAAATGTAGGCTTCAGTCAGCTAAGCATGCTTTCTAGCCCCTTTCTGGTCCTACATCAACTTTTCAAACATGTGGATCAGTTCTAGTGTAGCTAGGCAGCTCTGGTCATCTGCCTGCAAGCCCTGGCCTAGCACTGAACTGTCTTGCCAGCTAGTACTCATTTTACTTAATGCTTTGGCCAACTATCTCAATATCTCAATATTTGACCCCTGAGCCTCTGGCCTGTACCCCAGTTCTGTATGTACAAATAAATAAATCTTTAAAAAAAAAAAGGGGGGGTGTGATTCAGGAGATGGGTGTGGAAAATGCTGGTAAGCTGACGCAGCAAGTTCTTGTGGGAATGGGTGAGCACAGATGTGGCTGTCTGAGGCTAGGATGCCAGTCTGGACATTGATCTTTGTGTCTAACAGCAACAGAGAGCCTTTGAGTAGACATCTCACGAGAGGAAATGATGAAATGGGTGTTTGGGGAAGGTGAATCTGGCAGCTTAGACGGACGTCAGAGGAGGGAGGGAAAACAGGCCAGGAGAGGCTTGAGGAGGTCGTTGTCGACCTGCAAAAGGATTGGGCACAGATAAAGAATAGGTGGAAATTTAGTGAAGATGTCAGCAGGGAAGCAGATAGAACGTCTGATTAAAGATGAGGGAGAGACAATGACTGAGTTTCTGTGCTGAAGATGAGGATGAGCTGAGCTAAACACAAAGGGCATAGAATGGGTTTCTGGTGTCCTTTGAACTGGTTTTGACTTGGCTCTGGGCCAGTGGCATTTGGATGCGTACAAACCTCAAAAAGGTTAAGGGGGTGTCGCACTTGGGGACTCTGGCGGACGTTTCTCCAGTTTGAGCTCTCACAGACCTCAGGCAAAGAAGGGCTTCAGTGTTTTCCTGAAGCCTCCAGCAACGCTTGCTTGTCATAAGAGTTTATGGCGTTTCACAGACAATGTCCAGAAGCTTCTCCTGAAACCCGGTGGGCTACACTCTGAGTAGCGTCGGTCCTGATTGGTCAGAATAGAATTTTCAAGCCACAAGTCGGGGGAGGACTTGCGTGGATGGGATTTCTCTTTCACTCCTGCACTGAAGCTTGACTGAAGGGCCTCTGGCTCGTGGCTGTCTGGGTTCAACGGGGTATGGCTGCCCCCCTGCCCGCCCGTCTCCCACCTGGCCAGGGAAGGCCAGCCCTGAGCTCCCCTAGCCAGCAGCTTTCCCAGGCAGCCTTCCTCCCCCACACTCTTGGCATTCCTATGACATGGCTATAAATTATGCCCAGCGTGTTCATTTTCAGTTTAAATGTGTTCCCATCCCAGAGGAGCTACTAATGGTGGCAAGTTACTGATGTGAGAAAGGCCTGCCGCTGCAATGACTGTGGATTAATGAAACAGCAGTGATGGAGGCTGGAGCAGCGATAAATCGTCAGTCACGGGTGACGTGGATTTTAAATGATATTCTCCATCCCCTCCCCGTTCTCCGAAATTATTTTTGCTGTGAAGTTGTTCAGTAAATGTTTACCAGGGCTTCAATGTTTGCTTTCGATTTAAAGTTGATGCAAGCAGGAAGCCTTCCTCTTCAGCGTGGTTTTCCCCAGAAAGCCGGAAGCCAGCTGAGAGGGATTTAAATCTATCATGCTTTTCTCTAGGAGGTGTGAAGGCAAAGCTCTTAATCCAGGGATCATCACTGACTGATAAATTTCATTCAGAAAATTGGCACACGCACGGTGAACTCGCTGGTAAGGCAGAGTTCTCCTCACCTTCTGTTATGGCTTCTCCACCCCACTCCCCACCAACGAATTTAAAGTGAGAAACCAATACAATTCCCACCAGAGTTCCTGAGATGTAGCATCTATTTTTTATTAGATGAAGAGCCCCAGACAGTCCACAGATGGGTCATAGGCAGTTCACAAATCCCTGAACCGAAAAGCAAATTGTTCATCTGTTCATATGCTTTTTTATAAAGAAGGTCTATGGATTTCACAACATTCACTCAATGATCTTTAAGCCTAAACCGCTAAGAGCTGCTGGGTGGGGTTTTACAGAGATGACCACAGTTGCTTCACCTTCACAGTTGCTTCATCCGTGACCTTGCAGCAGAATCTTGTAGTTCCCACAGTCGAGGGGAGTCTGTCCACCCTTGGTTCTGGGTGTGACCCATGGACTCTGGGTCAAGCAGATTTTGAAAAGCTCTTGCGCACGGGGGCTTGCCCGAGTCCGCTCCTGCTGCACGGAAACCCAGCAGGACCAACTGGTGAGTGTCCGGCCGGCCACTGGGCCTCGAGATAAAACTTCTTGGGTATTTGGAAATGGATAACAGACACATTAGTTCTGACAGAGTAAAGGCAACATCTGAAAACTCTGCTTCTCGTCAAAAAGGACGTCAAGTGTTTGTGATGAAACAAATGTGAAAACATTGATTTTTATCCAAGGAGAAAGCTTTTTCTGTTGTGCTTGTCACAGGATTGGCAATTGTATTACTGCCACCTTGAATGGGAAAGTCACCAATTAGGAAGCAAAGAAACGACTAGGTGGCATTTTCGAACAAATTTCCATGTTTATTACAGTCGTGTTTCTCTACAACTGAAGATTCTTAGGGTTTGCAAACCATATGTCTGTCTTTACTACCTGTACAAACAGAATAGCATTTCCAAAAGGGGGTTTCACACAGCAGAGCACACAAAGCATACAGTGTGTGACCTGGATAAGGCAGTTGAGAAAGGTCTGGGTTCTCTCAGGATGCTCTGATGTTGGCGTCACATTCTTCTAAAAGTAGAATCAGGTCTTCAATCAGGCTGTGCTCTCTGCCATGCGTCACTCTCATAATATCAAAAGCCTGAAGGAAAAGGAAAGAAGGCTGGCTTGATCTCAAAGTAGGAGGGTCCCATCCCTCCCATCTCTTCCCCATGAATCTGGAGAACACCACAGGGCTGCAGTGTGAGCAAGACCGTCATTCTCCAGCCCAGAATGTGAAGTGATCACGGTGGCTATTTAATGTGGTGTTGAGAGAGCAGACTCACCACTCAATTCACGCCACAGCCTGAAACCCAACAGTGACCCTGAGAGATTGTTAGTCTTGGCGAGCAATTACCAAGGTTTACAAAGAACAACTAGAATGAATCAGTAATGTTAAGGACAGAACACTATGTTGCGACCACCTGAAAATATATTTTCAGTTTTGTATGCTGCATTCAATTATTAGCTATTTGTTATGTGATTATTATGGACACATATTTTTGTATTCTTTTCATGTCCTAAGATATTACGGCATCAATATTTTAAGACTCTCTTTTCAGTCTCCATTTCAAGCCCGTCACTAAATCTTTGATGTTTAATGAGATTTTAAAAAACTCCCTTGCCCCTCACCCAATCCCTTTCACCCCCATGTCCCTTTCCCTTCCTTCTTAACCTAGGCACACTCAGGATGTTTACCGGGGTCCACTGGCTTTTGAAGTATTGTATACTATTGAAGCACCTGTTACATAAATGCCTCAAGTATTTCTTTTTATAGTTGTGACTTACTGATCACATATAGTTCACTTAAATTCCCTCCATTTTGTTGAAATGGGCGGCATTTCATCCTTTTCGTGACGATATAACACTCCACAGCATAAATCACATCTCCTTGATCTGTCATCCCTTGGTGGGTATTGAGGCTGCTCCCATGTCTCACATGTTGTAAAGGGGGGTTGTGTGTTTGGCTTCATATTCTTTGGCTAGATGCCCAAGGGAGGGATTCTGGGTTGTATGGTATTTCCATTTTCAGTTTATTAATTAAGGTAAATTCAGATTGCTTTTCATAATGGCTGTGCCAGTTTACACAGGTCCCTCTTTCTCTGCATCTTCTCCCATAGTTTTGTTGGGAGTCTTTTAAATATGGGCCATTATCACAAGTGTGGGATGGCATCTCACTGATTTTAACCTCCATCTCCCTTATTAGCAGGGATGACAAACATTTTCCATGTCTTTTGACCTTCTGGATAGCCCCTTCAGTGAATGGTCTGTTCACGCCCATTTATTAATTAGATTTGTTGTTTGTTATTTTGAACTGAATGAGTTTTTAGATATCTTAGATATTGAGCACTTATTATTGATATTTTGTGTATCTTCTCCCATCCAATAGGTTTCTTTTTCATAGTCTTGCATTTTCTTTTGCTCTCTAGAAGCTTTATAGCTGTATAGAGTCTACTCAAGGAGGAAGGTTAGGGGTGAGGAGTAAATTTAGAAGTCACTGAATTTTGTAGGGTGGAGCTTATTGGTACTTTGGTGATGAGCGTGGTGTGGTAGACCTCTTTAGAGGTCTGAGCTCAAATTCCTAAATCATATGCCATGTTGTAAAGCAGTGTTATCGTGATTAAAAATGTTACAAAAGCAAGAAAGAAGAGATCCATCCTTAAGGACCAACATTCATTGCACTGACCCAGAGTCTCCCGTCCACTGGGGAAGGCTCAGGGTAACACCTGCACTCAGTTCTGCTCCTTCTAGGGCTGCCCTGTGTAGCCTCTCCCAGTAAAAAGTCTGCAGTGACCTAGGAGGGCACCAGAAAATCCTCTAATCCTACGCAGCTTATGAGACATGCAGGGGGTGACAGGTGCTTCCTAATCCGAGATCCTGGGGGTGGCGTCTGCGCTGGGCAGAGACTGACTCACTGGAGCAAGATCGGGAGGTGGGCAAGCTGCTGGCGTGGATGCGAAGGCCTGAGGTAGTGACATTGAGGGTCTTACCCACAGGGGTGGCTAGAAGCAGAGGAAATGAGTAGAGTAGGGACGAGGGTCAATTTAAATGTACTGAAAAATAAATGCCCATCACTGGGGCTCTCTCTGGTGGCGCAAACGGTTAATGCACCACATTTCTAAAGCCACTGTTACTGCTTCAAGGGTTCGATTCCTGGCCAGAGAGCGACCCACATGGCGCAGCAGACCTCTCCTGACCCGCCGCTGCTCCCCCCCAGCAGTCCTGCTCCCCCCTCTGTCTCTGGTGAATCCTCTCACCTACTCCACCTCTGGCCTGTACCCCGGTTCTGTAAACATAAATAAATAAGTCTTTAAAACAAATGCCCATCATTAGTCTGGAAAGCAAAATCAACTACAAATATGATAAACAAGTACACCCTGCAGTTTGCTCCGAGTGGTGGGCGGGGCAGAAGAGAAAAGGGGAGAACGGAGGGAAGAGAGGCAGAATTCAGTAACGTGCATGTCAGTGGCTGTGTGTGTGCGATGATGGGTCAGGCAGTGTGGGCTGGGGGTGAAACTCACACCTGGTGTCAGAGGTCGCTGGTCCTGACCCTGTCTCACCTGGGCCGACAGGTGAGCTGGGTCAGCAGTGCTCCGCGACACCTGTGCCCCGCGGCCACAGCTTCCGGCTGGCTCAGTATGGCCGCCGCGGGCTCAGTCGCACAGGAAGGGGCGGGTTACTTCCCGCCCAAGATAAAGTCATATTGAGTCTCTGACGCAAGAGGTCTTCTTTCCCTAGCTCTGTGCCCCCTCCCACCCGCCCCTCCTCACTGCCATACATGTGTTGCGTATGTCAGAGAGGACAATCTTGGCTTAATTTCCTACAGCAATATAGGAAACAGATTAAGGACACATAAAATTGGAGTCAGCTTGTGCTGGGAAAAGCTTATCTCTTTCCATTAAATTTTATTTTTTTAACGGCAGCATTTAAAAAGAGCCTTTTGCTTATAATCTTCCACAGAGAACTCATTGCCAGTCACCAAGGGGGGTAAGGATTGCTTCACCCAGCTACTGACGCTAAATGTCACATGAGAAATGGCCGAGCGGATTGTCTGCCACTCAGGAATAAAGATGGGGTCCCCAGAACTGACTTCAATCTCACGTCAGTTTTTCAGTAACTTCAGAAGTGTGGCTACATATTAAATACGATGAATTACATCAGATTACAATTTCAAGTTGCAAACAACATAAATTTCTTATTAATTTTTAATGTAAAATTATTAAGCTGATCAAGGATCTCCTACTCTCAGCCCTGAGCCTGAGGGAATCCAGTGAGTGACTTCCTCAAGCGTGATTTAAATATGGATATAAAATTCAGAGAGAAAAGAAATGTATGCGTGGTAAGAACCGTGGAAGTAGATCACAGCAGGGGAAAAGACAATCGAGTGTTCTTATTCTACACAGCTCAGGCTGAGGACAGAGTAGAGGAGACAGATGCAGAAGTGGGGTAGGAACCCAAAGCTGGAAATGCAAGAAGCATTATCTCCAACACATCACCAGCTTCAGAGCCACAAAAGCGCTTCCTGACAATGGGCTACCGAGAACTGCAAAGCCTTTGGTGACCCCCTGAGCTCAGCTGCGGCCCTGCTGACTGCTCTATTCTAATGCTTGAATAGCGCGAAGTGTAGGATCCACTGAAAGGACCATTCTCCTGGGATGCCTGTTCCTTTGGGGTCAGATCCAAAATACCACTGCCAAACCCAATGTCCTGAAGTTGTTCCTCCACATTCTCTTCTACGACTTTTGTATAATTTAGCTCCTCCACTTAGGTCTTTCATGAATCCTTAAAAATATGGCGAGGCCCTTCCTGGTGGCACAGTGGGTTAAAGCTAAGAAGCTAAAGCCACTTCAGCATGAGTTCGATCCCCGCCTGCCCCGGAGGTGACCCACAGGGCGCGGCAGACCTCTCCTGACCCGCCTGCTGCTCCCCTCAGCAGTGGACTCCGTCAGTCGGCCTGTTCTGCTCCCCACTCTGTCTCTGGTGAGTCCTTTTGCCCCCTCTGCACTTCTGGCCCAGTACCCCAGTTCTGTGTGCATAAAAGAATAAATCTTAAAAAAAAATATGGTGACACAGAAGAGTGCCGCTTTGTTCCACACATGTAGGTACAAAAACCAAGCCCATGGATTTAGTTAGAGACTTCCCTTCCCCCACTGGGTTCTTGGTTCTCGTCTCAAAGATCGGTTGATTCTATGTGCTTGGCGTTCAGTTCTAGGTCCTCTCCCCTACCTCTCTGGTCTTTTTTTGTTGGGGGTGGGTGAAATACTGGGGTGTTTTTCTTTTTTTTCTTTTTCTTTTTTTAAAGATTTACTTATTTATTCATACAGAACTGGGATACAGGCCAGAGGCTCAGGGATGGTGAGAGGCTTCACCAGAGACAGAGTGGGGAGCAGAACAGGCAGATTGACAAAGTCCACTGCTGAGGGGAGCAGCGGGCGGGTCAGGAGAGGTCTGCCGTGCCCTGTGGTCACCTCCAGGGCAGGCAGGAATCGAACTCATGCAGAAGTGGCTATAGCTTCTCAGTGCTGTGCTTTAACCCGCTGCGCCACCAGGGAGGGCCCACGGGGGTGTTTTATTATTTGATCTACATGACAACACACAATGATGAATTCCAGTGTAGAATTCTAATCCAGCAGGTTCCTACACAACAGCTAGTTTTTACCGCTACCTTTAATTACTGTTTATTTTCCCAACTGTTTGCCTTTCCCCTACTAAGAAATACATCCTTCATTTTTTGTTTGCTGGGATATGTTAATTTTCTGACTCAGCCCAGGTGACCCAGCAGGACGTTTGTCACTGCTCAGCAAATAATGGTAACAACAACAATAATCGTAACAAATAAATCCAATAACGTAGCAGGACAGAAAATCAACATGCAAAAAAGCCAGTTGTGTTTCCATATACTGACAGTGAATAATTCAAGAAGGAAATTAAGAAACTAGTTGTTGTTTTTTTTTTTTTTCAGTAAACAGAAGACTTGTTTAAAAACTTATTTTATTTCCCCAACACCATCCTGGGAGCCCCTTGATCTTTTCTCCATCCCTTTTCTCTTTTGACCTCAGGAACCTCACATCATGGTTAATGTCCAGAAGTTTTTATAAGGACGTAGTTTGCCACTATATGTTTATTATCTGTCCCAGTCTGTACTTCTGGCTAGTTTTATAATACACAATTCCACTGGAGTCCTTTCATTTCACTGTAGATGGCATCATTCTGTCTTTTCTAATGACTGAAGAGTATTTCATGTACAAACGGCTTGCTTTATGTCTGTACCACACTATTTTGATTGTTGTAGCTTTAAAGTAAATTTTGAAATCAGAAAATATGAGACTTCCACCTCTTTTCTATACTTTCAAGATTATTGTAATGACTAAGGTCCTGTGAAATTTTCTATCAATTTTAAGGTGGAATTTTCTCTTTCCAAAAAAGGATATCATGGGGATTTGGGCAGAGATTGCACTGAATCTGTAGTTTTCTTTGGGTAGTCTTAAGTCTTTCAACCATGAACACGAAATTTTACCAAACATGTTTCAAGGTCAATGGAAACACCCATAAGTATCAGTGGGGAGGAATTCCAAGCAGCTCTTTGGTTCCTGATGATTCTGGCACATTATCTCTGCATACCCACATGCTCTCCCTCCCATCTGCCCACATGTTAAGGTGTGATGCTACACACTTAGAGGAAAGTCATTTAGCTTTGAGACCGTGGGCAGTTGGAGAGTCTGTGTTGTGCCTTCAGGCTGCCTCTGAACCCCCAACCCATGACATACACCAAATGTAGCACGTGTGTACACTTTCCTGGGGTGATTTAGTTTTCTCACTGGATTCCAGAAAAGAACATAACTAAAGAGAGGTTAAGAACAACTGAAGCAGACTAGAACGAGAACAACGGAACTGTGTAGGCAAGAAGAGCATGGCTCTCCTTCGGCTCCCTGGGTGTGCTGGACTAGCTCACACCTGTGGCAGTGACGTCCCGGATGTGGGAACCTGTGTGCTCCACTCAGGCCCAGGAGAAGCTAAAGGACCTCAAAATGCATCAACAAAATGAAATGACAAGGGGAAAACCATTGAGTTTGATGTAGGAAACTTACATTGAAATCCAAAAATGGATATTTAAGGGAAAAGACTGTGATTATCCCCCAGTCTGGCAGGGGGAAGGAGCTGGCAGTGTGCAGAGCTCGCAGAAAAGAAACAGCCTCACGGCTAAGACAGCCAGATGAGGGCTGTTGCCTCTGAGGTTCAAAAAGTCACATTAGTAGCTAACAAAATTCTTCCAAGAAATAAATGGAAAGAAATGAAAGTAGATTAGGGACAGGAGAAAGCAGGAGGGAAGTGCTGGGCAGAGGCCCCAGGACAGTCCTAGGGTGGCAATCACAGGAATTTCAGCTGAGCCCAGTGGAGATGGAAACCGAAACCAAATCAGCTGGGCTAAGCGAATTCCCTCCTGGACGAGGCCCCGGCCTAATTGAATCTGCAACAAATTTCTGTTTCTGAAGCTTCTCTGATTTCTGTTCCAAACTCAGCCTTAGAAACTCTTTTCAAGCTATTTCATCCCATTATTTCCAGAGTTTCTAAGACAAGAAAGGCAGTCTAGGCATGCCAGGTGGAGAACATCAGTTCAGTTTCAAAAGGCAAAGGCTACCTCTTTTCTTTTCCCTCTCTAGGTTACCTGAGCCCTGAGAAAGTTCAGGAAGAACAGCTTTCTGCAGAATGAAATTGACCTGCTTCGACACTGTCAGGGGCACATGAGCTGGTGAAGAGATGGCCACATTCAGTGTGTCTCTGCAGCAAAGGTCGTGTGATCTCATTTATTAGCAACACGCAGCTGAAACGAAGAAGGCCAGGATGTGTCCTGGAATGTCCTCCTTTGATTAAAGAGATGTATCCTCTCGGGTCTGCATGTTTCAGACTTGACGTGTTGGGGCGTGTGCAATCGTTAGGTGGCCCAGGAGACGCAAAAGGTTTCTCAGCTGGGGCAACCGTGAGGAATTTCCTGCTTACCTGGGGGAGACACAGCCTATGCAAGTGAGTCACTGGGGAGAAGTTACGGAGCATAAGTGCTCAAAGAGGCAACACCCAGAACCCCTGATGATAAGCCTAGAGCCAAAGGGACCAGGTAGTAGGGGAACAGCAAATATTAAATACGTCAAAGAATTATTTAAATGTAATTACAGAACTTGATTGAATTTAAATTATTATTTAAGATATTAATTCTACTTTGTAAAATCTGGTTAGAAAGTGCATATATTTAATAAAAATAAATATACTTAATATTTTCAGTAATTATTTAAATAATCCTTTAGAGTCTTGACATACTTGGGATGTGGCAAGACACACTCTCACACAATATTTAGTTCACACAATCTGTACTTCCTAAAACAATGCCTCGTCTACTTCCTAGGGCAATTCCATGGGGAAATTATATGCAGAGGGATTAGGAGACTGGTTTTGTTTCAGTCACTGGCGGGACTGGAAGCTGAGCCTGATTCTGCACCCAAGGGCTCTCTTCAGGAGCCGGCCTTCCCAGGGCTGCAATTTGCGTCTGGTTGCTAATCAGCACCCAGCAAGCGTCAGGCTTCTCTCTGAGCCAAACAGGAAGCTTGGGCTAAGGCCAGGACTTCACCCAAATCTCGCAACGGGCTTTCTGAGGCTGCGTCTTGAGTCTTTCACTTGGCAGCGATCAGAGTCCGTGCTTGGGCTTATCTTCGGTACCAAGAGCAGAAGGTGCCTGAATGAAGACCCAGGAAGCTTCTGGAAGAAGCAGGGGCAGGCTCACACAACGGACAATGAACTGGGCACAAGGACAGGTGGACAGAGGAGACCCGGAGGCCCGCTGATGCCAGCACAGCCGCTCCCGTCCTGCTGGCCCAGGAAGGCCACACGTCCCTCAGGGTATGACTCGTCCATGAGCTGAGGGTGCTCGATGTCTCCTCCTGGAGGTCGGCAGCCGTGGCGATAATAAAGCCTCACATACCAGATGGAAGACATCCACACCTCCTCCGATTTCTGGCCCTTTTTATTCCGCCTGAGTTGAATCGGGAACTCAGTGGGTCTGAAAAGATTTCCACACGCTCCGTCTTACCAGAGCACCTCATCTATTTAAGGGGGTTAGTCCAGAGGGAAGAACAGAGCCTTGGACGCCAGCCTGGATTTAATGACGAGTTCGCGTGTCTGTTTCCTCCACTAACTGTAAGGACAACACTGAGTCTATTCAGATTAATAGAAGCATCTAATCAACACATGTTGAATTCAACTGAGCAGACCAGGCCTGGCTCTGCCTCAGTGTGACACTAGATAAGCTCTCGAATGTCCCAAGCTTCGGTTCCTGTCATGTTCAAAGAAAATGAAAATGTCTGGCCCTGTGGCCACCAACGGTCACGAGGACCCGACAAGATCGTGCAGAGATGAGCAGCATTAGTGCTTTCTAGCCCCACGGAACAGAAAGAATGCATGTGGTCGCTTACAAAGCTCTTACTCGCGGCCACCCTGGCATGGGAACATCGCGTACCTGGGAAGCGTCTCTGCCTTCTTTTTCTGTCAACACTTCACACAATGTGAGGTGCTGAGCTGGTTACAAAGAGGACCACAAAGACCTCACCGTCTGCGGACAGGGAGACACGATTCCCTCCTTACAGTAGTGCCGTGGGCCGAGGGAGCAAACACACAGAGACTCAGCCAACACTTGAGCTGGCCTCAGAGGACCCGTGGAGTCCGGCCCACCCCGGTGGAGGAGGAGGAGAGGGCGTTTAAGGAAGAGGAACCAGCTTTTGGGCAGTGAGGGTGACCTGGGAGAGGCTGTGTGGAGAGGACAGCAGGGCTGAGGGAACACGGGTCCGCAAGAGCCGGCGATGGCCACGATGGCCAAGCGCCAGTCTCCCTGGCAGGAGAGGCGGGCGACGCCTTGTGGGCAGCAGGTGGGTGGCACGAGGGGAGCTGGGCACCATGCAGGAGAGGCCTGAGGCCTCTGCAGCAGTCAGAGAGCAGATCGGTAAATCTCCATCATTTCCATGCGCTGGCTGGTTTTATATTGGCAGTTGAAAGTCAGCGAGAGGTGAGCATGTTTAAACCACAGAAACGGGCAAACGTCACCCATCAGGGTCTGGTTGTTTCTTTGCTCAGAGGGGGTTGGTAAATATCTGTGGCAAAGTGGAAGAGCACACGTGTGTGAGGGGCAGTGTGTGTGCACACAGGTGTGCAGCGTAGCACTGATGAATGCCACGAGGCTACCGACACCCCCCAAGGGACCGCAGCAGCCCTGCGTGAAGCTGGCGACTCACCAGTCTCAGATTCTTCATGGCCTGAGGAAACATGCCCTGGTGCAACTGCAGCTTGCCGACCTTCATGACCTGCACCCCTCTGACGGGGTGGCTTCCTGGGTAGAAGATCCTGAAAGGAACCAAAGGGCAGACAGCGTGAGGTGCGCTTACACTCAGTCAGCATTTCAGTGGAGAGGGTGGGGTGGGCGCGAGCCCCGGCTGGGCTGTGAGTGAGCTGTGAGGGCACACTGGTTTTGCAAACTCTGGAACACCGAGGGGCGTAAGCACAGCATCATTCTTCTGCTCCTCACAATTCCTTTTGCACTAAGGGGCCACAGAAAGACAGGCCTGGATGCCTCTCTGACAAATACGAGCGAAGAGAAGCAAGGTCGGCCTCTGCCTTGCTCTTTGGGGGCCGAGTGGGAAGACCGGGTGCTCGTCTTCTCTTCAGCCTCCCCCGCGAGCCCCAGAACCCAGGCCGGCCTTGGAACAGAAGGCGGAACTCTCAGGACTCCCCCTCTGGGTACGACCGCACGCTCTGCTTGCTGCAAAGCCCTCTGAATTCTAGCTGTACAGATGATCACAGCTCACCTAGTACACAGGCCCAGTTATTTCTCTGACCCCCGCACTGGACCACGGGGCTTTTCATTCAGGCGCCTCCTCGGAGCTTGCCATGACGGCTGTCCGCAGGCGGAGCGGAGGTGCTGTGGGACATCTTCAGCCACAGAATAGAACAGGGTGTTGCAGTGGAGGAAGAACGTTTCACGGTCAGTTTGATCAATGATTATATTAGATGCAGTGGTGCAGAGTCTGACCCCTTCCGCCCTCTGTGACCTGGTCCTTACCATCTACTATCTCGCTGCATGCGGGCCGGTGGGGAACAACCACGTTGGATACACACACATGGGCTGTTCTCAAAGGCCCCCGAGTCCCCGCAGACACAGGTAAACAGCCACACAACACCTAAAATTATCATAGGACACAGCATGCTTTGGTGCCCAAGTGACACCTGTCTCACTATCGGGGGAAGCTCAACTCAAGTTTGTTGACTTGAAGTATGAAGCGAGCAGGTGACTGATGCTTGAACATGGAGGGTTTCCTGGGGGAGACAGCAGGGCTTACACGGACTCCCAGGGGGCTGGGGAGACTGGGCTGGGAGGGGAGAAGGAGGCGCATTCAAACTTAGTCAATCAGGGACACGCTCCCGGGGCTGCTCCCCAGAGACGACAGACACCTGCCTGTGACATCGGCCCACAGGTAGCCTGCTCTTGGACCGCACCTCAGAGCCACGGCTTACACAGGGGTGCGGTTGGCACCGTGGTTCTTCCCCTCCTGAAATGTGATACAGGAATTTTCTCACTCACGCTCTTAAAAAATTAGAAAGAGAGGGAGGTATTTAAATTACTGGAAGGCTGGCCACTCACAGAACTGAAGAGGGAAGGGAGGGGAGAAGACAGGAGAGACACCAGGGTCCTGGGGCTGTCTTCCAGTACGCCAGGAGATCAGTGGCTTGCCTCTCACCCCTCACAAAACGAACATCATTAACTACTTGTGTGGAAAAGATTTTCAGAGCTGCAGACAAAGCTGCAGTGCAGGACACCATTATCAGAAGGTAATTGCCCTGGGCACTTCTAAAGCGCGCCTGGATTTAGGATTTTATTTTATTGCTATGAATATGACATAATTAAATTTAAAGGCCAAAAAGTAATTTTATCCAAATAATCATTCCCCTAAGTGGATGTCTGTCATGTCAGTGAAAAGAAGGAAAGAAAACCTTTAGTTCTATGATGGCAGCTAGTGGTGCATAATTACCACACGCCAGGTTCCTGCTCTGGTTTCTTGAAACTAAGAAGTGGGGCATTGGGAGGGAGAGGATGCGAGCAAGTGTCTTTGAGTGGCCTGCACTAAATACCTGCGGGCAGCCTCCACCGGTCGCGGGGTGCGTGGTTTCTGGGGCCTCCCAGCTGACAGGTGGAATAAGAATCACGATCCCTGGAGCCTCCTGTTAGAGGGCCCCAAGGAAGACCGGGGGCGCCACTCCTGCTGGGAGAAGTTCCCCACCTTTATTGGCCTGCAGTGGCGTTCAATCACAGGGCTGCAAACACCGGGGCCAGAGAAGGAATCGGGGTGCCGGAGCCCCATACAGACTAAAGGCAAGCTTGAGAGGGAGGCGCGCGCGAGGCCCCCTAGACTCTGCAGGCTCTGATGGGGAGGGGGCGGGTGTGGACAAGTGCCCGGCTCCTTGCCCTCAGGGACTGGACCCTCTAGGCGTAGAAGTGGGGGGGGGGCGCGAAGCGGGCACCCCGAGACACTGTGCGAGCCGCCAGAGCGGGGCGATCGTGGCGGTTTCTGGGGACATCAGAGCTTGGGCTAGTGCAGACAGGCTCCCGGGTCAGGGGGTGCGTGGGCAGGGACTGGCAGGGGGGCGTGGGCGAGCCGGAGTGTGGGCTTGGCCAGGCTCACTCGAGCAGAGCACTGCATCAGAATGCAAACGGAGGGAAAACGGGAGAAGAAACCCGAGAGGGAGAGCTCTGAGGCCGGACGGCGGTCATGGGCGCAGAGACATGCCCTGCGCCTGGCCGGCTGGGCGCCTGGGTTCGGGGCGGCGGCACGGGCAGACGCGCTCTGGCGGGGTGTTGGAAGTGTCCAGTCACAGGGCAGTGCCAGGCGCCCAGCTCCAGGACCCTGGGCCTGGAGAGGGAAACCGCCTTTGGTGCCTGTGAGGGAGCAAAGTGGTGAAACGGGCAGAGGAAGTAGCTGCGGCGAGCTTGGGCAGACCCAGGAGCACCGTGGGCTTGCTCCTGTATTTCACACGGAGGCTGCGATCCGAGAACTGGAATGCCTCAGGTGAAAAGAAGATAGAGGGCCCCTCCCGGTGGCTCAACCGGTTAGGACCCAGCACTGCGAGCTGGCTGCAGCCGCCTCAGAAGAAGTTCAACCCCGCGCCAAGGAGGTGACCACAGGGCGCGGCAGACCTCTCCTGAGTCACCCGCTGCTCCCCTCAGCACTGTGCTTCATGGATCTCCCTGTTCTGCTCTGCACCTCTGGCCTGTACCTCAGTTCTGTAGACATAAATAAATAGTTTAAAAAAAAAAAAAGGAATATAGAGTAGAAAATGCCTGAAGGCAGGCCCCAGGCCTGAGGCTGTCCTACAAGATGTAATCACCAATCACAGTGTTTTACCACAGTTTGGTATATACTGGGAAGGAAAAAAAAAGCAACAAACCAGTTCTGGTTGAGGGGCATTATTTATTTTTAAATATTTATTTATTCATACCAAACTGGGGTACAGGACAGTGATGCTGGGGGTGAGAGGATTCACCAGAGTGGGGAGCAGGAACAGGCAGATGGACTGAAACACACTGCTGAGGGGAGCAGTGGGCGGGGTCAGGAGAGGTCTGCGGTGCCCTGTGGGTCAACCCCTGGCCAGGATCAAACTGGTGCTGCAGTGGCTGCCGACAGCTTCACAGCGCTGAGCTTTAACCTGCTGCACACCAGGGAGGGCCTGAGGGCCACTTTTTAAAGATTGGATTCAAAACATATTATTGAACTTAAAAGGAGAATTTCACTTGCGTAAGTTTAACCTACATAAATTGTATCCCAGTTGCCAGCCTCATACTAGATTTTAAAATGGTGCTAGAATTAGACCACCATTTTGTAATGTCTACAGAATTGATCCAGAAAAAGTATCAAAGGATGAAATCAGTAGATGACAGATGGATAGAGAATTTCAACATGGAGAGATTAGGTGTGACCATCTATTTTAGCATCTTTAAAGTGGGACAAGGCATTACATGCTATGTGACATGACACAGAGGAATTATTCTGACCTGCTATGTGACATGACACAGAGGAATTATTCTGATCTGCCTCTCAAGCATATTGACCTCCCCCCAAGGAGAAACTGAATTTATTCAGGCCCATGAAGTGCAATGGCATTTCATAGGAAAAACAAGTGATAGAAAAACGCATGAGATCAGCTCAATTCTGGACACAGGAAATTCTACAGGTCCTTGACCTGGTATCCTCAAAAGATTATTGGCATGAAAAGAGACAAGCGTGAGAGACCTAAGAAATATAATAATCAAATATAATGTACAGAACCTAGGCATCTTTAATGCCTAAACTAAACTACAAAATGATTTTTGTGAGACAATCTAGAAAATCTGAACATGAAATGGTATTGTGGATATAAAAGAAAATGTCCACAGTTTCCAGAGCTGCAAACTGAAGTCTATGTGGATGAATGATGTCATGTCTGCAATTTGATTTACACTTCTTCAGCAGAATTTCTCCTTCCAGCAATGGTAGAGTAGCTTGTTTCAGACTAAACTTGGTAAGCACAAGAAAAGTTAGACAAAATGTTCTTTTAATCTAGCTGAGGTATCAGAATAGTTACGGGGTACCGGGGTCGTGAGGAGTCAGGACTGCAGGAGGCTCAAGCAGACGCTCCTCGCATCCATTTAATGCTGAGCGTCAGTTCAGTGGCTGAGGTGCGGTTACTACAGACTCAGAGATGAACACACAGCGACTGGAGGTCAGGGCTTAGCAAGGAAGAGATGCAAAACCAGAAAGCACCCCTGTCTTTCATTGGTGGTGCTCAAAAAGCTACAATCTAAGGATAATCAGGTGAGTCAGGAATAGACCAGTCCTTGTGAATCAGTAAAGTCAGTTCACAGCGGACTGGCTACCCAGTTGTGCAAGATCAACAGCAAACGGAGGACTGAGCCTTCCCAGAGGCCAGTCTCTGCCCGGGCACGGGGCAGCATCCTGCCCACTTGTGCCTGTGCAGCTGGCAGGTGCTTCTCTTCACCAACTCTCTCCCTTCGCAGGGCAGCAGCCTCCTGTTTGCCCTGTGCCACGCTGGGGCTTCTCTTCACCGGCCTCCCTCAGCGGAGACTGCTCTCCTAAGGCCGCCCGCCTGCCACCATGCAGCTCCACTCAGCAAGCCTCTCCCTTTCGGGGAGCCAGCTCTTTCTGCCGCCTGTGTCTATCTGGTGTCCTTGATTCTTCTTTCCCTTTTATAATGAACCCGCCCTTTGGATATAACTAACGTCTCTGTGTTGTGGAGAAACTCGCCCGGGAGACTCATGGATGCCGCTCAAAGGGGAGATCTGGTGATACTTTTCC